GTGGACTGCAGCGAGCGGGGCCTCCGCCAGGTGCCGTGGAGCCTGTCGACCAACATCAGCACCCTGTGGCTCGGCTACAACTTCATCACCGTGCTGGGGCCGCGCTCCTTCCCTCCGCTGCCGGGGCTGCGGCTGCTCAGCCTGCCCCACAACCGCCTGGAGCTGATCCACGGCCGAGCGCTGCTGGGGCTCGGGGCGCTGCAGGAGCTGGACCTCAGCCACAACTACCTGAGCGTGCTGAGCCCCGAGACCTTCCTGCCCCTCGCCAGCCTGGCCATGCTCAACCTGGGCAGCAACAGGCTGGGGGAGCTGGAGCCCGTGGTGCTGAGCGCCCTGCCCCAGCTCCAAGCCCTTCTCCTGCACGACAACCCCTGGGTGTGCAGCTGTGACATCCTGCCCCTCTGGCGCTGGCTCAGCCTCAACAGGGAGAAAGTGCGAGGTGAGTGCCAGGAGCGTCCCCAAGCCCCCCGCCTGCTCCAGGCTGGCTGGGCACCCCGGAGGGGCTGAGACAGGACCGCATCTGGCTCCCGAGGGCTTGGGTGGTCAGTGCCCACCCCACTGTACCCTTGGGGTACAGCGACCTTCCCCAGAATCTGTCCTCAGGCCGTGGCAGCTCCTGTGCCTGCTTGGGTGGACACAGCCTTGGGTCTTGTACCCCGTGCCCACCCCTTGACCTTGGTCACCAGCAGGGATTGCCTGGAGGGGAGGGCTGGGCAATGTCCCTTTACAGCCACCCAGGGCTGTCCCCAGCAGTGGCACCAGTCCTGTCACGGGGAGGGCAATGGGCACCTGAGGGGGCGAGAGGAGCCTGTGTGTCAGGCTGCTGACCCAGACAGGCTGCAGTGCTTTCATCCCCTTCCCCAAAGCCTTCATGAACCCGGTTCTGATCCTACATTTCTTTCCCCATGAGCCCCAGTGAAAGACAAAGACACTTCTGCCAGCAAGCGTTTGCTGCCACCTCTTCCTGCTTGATTCCAGCTTGGGTGTGTGCCTGCACTTGTGCTGGCTGGGGCATTCTGTGACACCTCCAGCCTGGCTGCTCAATGCTCCCCACATTTGTCTCCTGGGTACCAGCCCCTCCACCTTGTCTGCCCCATCTGCCATCCTGCCCAAACCCATTTACCTGTGTCCACCTCCCTATCCATCCCACTCTCTGGGGCTCAGGATGCAGATGATCCCTGAACCCCACAGCTCCCTTGCTTTGTACCCTGACACAGGTGATCTTGGTCAGCCTGGCCCCTGTCCTCCTGTCCTGGTCCTGTCTGCCCCATACAGAGGTGCCATCCCCCTGTCCCTGAACCTAGCCTTTCCCAGCTGCTCAGTGTGCCCACCAGCACTGCTTTTCTCTTCCAGAGAAGAGTCTGCTCCTCTGCAGAGTCCCGGAGCAGCTGAACAAGTACCCGATCATGGCCTTTGGGGATGAGTCCTTCAGGCAATGCCAGGAGACCTCACTGTCCTCCCAGCACTACATTAACCTTTTCATCATTGGACCGTTCTCCTTCATTGCCAGCATCTTCTTCTGCACCTTCATGGGCTCGGTCATCGTGTTCTACCACAACCTGCGCAGGGAGTCCCAGTGCTGGAGGAGACCCCGCATCTGCAGGGTCCACTGAGGCAGGATGGCCAGGCCACAGCCCTGGGCAGGCTGTGTTCCACGCCCTTCTCCAGCTGGCTGCACCCACCTGTTGCAAACATGTCCCTGCAGACCAGTGAGAGGAAGATCCATCTCTGGAACTGCTTTGGTTTTTCTCAGAGTCCCCAGGATGATTCCAAGCTCCCTCCGCGCCACTGCTGGGAGAGCAGCCTGCAGCTCAGCACCCTGCAGGGCACGGGCTGACTGCAGATGCTCTCAGTATTCTGGCAGCTTCCCCAGACCACCCTCAGACCCTTCCTGGGGTTGTCGAGGTGATCCTTCTTCCCCTGTCCTGCCCCCTGTGGTGCACAGTGGCCTCAGTGTGTGTTTTGGGATGCACCACGTGCCTCACTGTGCCTCTGGGTGCAGCCTGGGAGCCCCGTGCACACCTCAGAACACACTGTACTCCTCCAGGCACCCCAGGAGTCACCATTTACCTTTTGGTGCAGCCCAGGAGCCTCTGTGTGCCTTCAGTTTGCCCTTAATCCCTCCTTGGGCCTTTTGGTGCCCCCAGAACTCTCTGTCTGCCTTCAATGACCCCATCAGCCTCAGGGAACCTTTCCGTGCCCTCCAAACTCCTTGGCTTGGCCTTTCATGCACCCAAATGCCATTTGTTTGGCTTCTGTGTCCTGACAGGCATTGGTTTGCCTTTTGGTGAACTGCAGAGCTCCCCACGTGCCTTTTGGTGCACCTGAAAATCTTTGTGTGCTTTTGGAGCATTCCAGAGCCTTCATAAGGCTTTCAGACTACCTGTGCTGGCCAAGGACAGGGCTGGTTGCAAAACATTTCTTTTGATAGGTTTTTTTCATTGAGTCAGGAACACTGGAACTGAGGAGGCTCAACCAACAGCCAGGATCTAGAGTGAGGTTGAAGGTTGAGGTGAGGGTTGGGAAGAGACTGGAGCTCCCACTGTTGTGGTTCAGCAGAGGAACTGCCCAAGGATGGGCGAGGCTCGCAGTAGTCCCTCCCTCAGTAGTTTTCCCCAAGCTAAAGCTCGTCCCAGGCCAAGGTCTAGGGTAGCTCTGTGATGGCAGTGGGGGCAAACAAGCCCATGTGGGTTTACAGGACAGAGATGCAGCCCTTAATGCTGCCTCACCTTCCACTGCCCACAAAGTGGGGCTGGAACCCCTGCACCTCCCAGCCCTGCCACCTCCTGCCCTTCCCTGTGGAAATGCTTCTGGACATGCTTATTGTGCATACTGGGAGATGGCCTGGAAGGATCTGGAGCTGTGCTCCAGAGGAAAGCACAGGCTGAGTGACAAAAGCAAGCTTTCAAGGAGAAGAAACATCCCTTTTTGCCTGACCTTGTACCGACTGCAAGAGGGTCAGAGACACAGTGACCACCAGTCACTGTGACCAGTGACCACCACAGACTACCACAGACCACCACCAGCTGTGACCACCAGCCTCCCCTTGTTCACTCAGTCTCAGCAAGAGCTGTGGACCAGCCTGGGATGTGGCAGGTCAGTGCATCCCTCAACAAACTCTTGCTAAGGGTTCAGTAAATCACACAGAGAATAAACCAAAAGTCACCTCAGCTCTGGCTTGCTCCCATTTTTATTTTCAAGAGAGAAACCAACCCAGTGAGCTGCCACAGCACCAGATTCCTGCTGCCTTCTCTGTCGTGGGCTGTGGGGGCTGCAGGGAGCAGCTCCTCTGCTGCCACCAGCCCTGCACTGGGGAGCTCTGCAGGACCTCTACCATCCTCTTGCCTTTCCCAGGAGCAATCCCGGTTCTCCCAGACCCTCTCTAGTGACAACATTCAGTCCTTCTCGAGTAGGCTTGGGCTTCCCATTTGGAGATAAGACCTCACTTGTCATCCTGCTTGGCCACCGGAGTCCTGCTCCTCCTCCCAGAGCACCCTGCAGCTGAGCCCACCATGAAGGCTGGGCTGGTGGTCTCAGCACGGGGGGATTATGCTGTCAGTGGGTGATGCTGCTTCAGTTCAGCCCAAGGGAGCTGCCTTTCTGTTTTGCAAATCCCTCGATGGAGCCTCCCTAGGGATGAGCTGCTGTGTGAGGACTCCCCCAGCTGCTTCACCCCTGTGGTCCATCCTCTGTTCCCAAAGGCTGGCCCCACTGGCACTGCCCCACGCTGGCTCCCAGGAGATGGGGAGCCCAGCAGTGACAGTGGACCATTTTCCCTGGGATGGAGGTGGGACAGAGCCAGCTGCTATGGTGCTGGTGTTTGAACAGCTCCAGACCGTCCCCATCCCCTCACTGCAAGGCCTGCCCCCCTCCCTGTGGCTGTTCAGGTTGTCTATCAGCTGAGTATCCCAGAATCATGCTGGTCCTTCCCTCATCTCCTCTGCAGCTTCTGGCCTTTCTCCCTGCTGGTTTCTCCAACCCTTCCCGTCCCTCCACCCTCCACTGTTTGCAGACCCTGCAGTGGGGCTGGGTGAGGTTCTGACTCAGCACAGGGCTCCCTGCCAGCTTTACCAGAAGACAGAGACAGAAAGAGGCACACAGCATCGGAATAAACCACTTCATGATCCAGTCTAGACTTTACTGAGCTCTTGCAAAAACTCGGTATTAATGTTACATTGACGTATAAAGTAGAATGGGTCCAATTTCTCAGCTGGAGATAGATGAACTTGATGGAGCCACAGCAGTCAGTGGGACGATGCTCACAGACCTCAGCTGCCGTCTGAAAATCCTGCCTGTGGGGCTGCATGCCCTTGGGGGAAACCCTGTCTGCTTGGCTGGGGCAGGGATGAGGCAGTTCAGCCACTGGGGCTTGGTACCACATTGCAGGTGAGTTTTCCATGTTTGCAGGAGACGGGATGTGATGCTGCCCGTGCACGTGCAGTAGCTGCTCATCACCAGCCTGGCCAGTGCCAGATGCTTCCCCCAGTGCTGGTGTGTCTGCACCCACTCTCAGAGCCCACAGTGAGGGTGCTCAGAGGTGCTGGCACACGGGGGTAGGCTCGAGGGGAGGAAGGTGCAGAAAGGAACGGCATCAGCCTGGCTTGTTTGGTTTCCTTCTCCTGAACTGCGATCTGGTTTCCATGTCTCCAGGTTCAGGCAGATGCAGCGCCATGAGCTGAGGCTTCAGGGCTGCCATGGGTGCTGCTGGCAAGCTGGAACTGCAGGTGAGGGTGGCAGGGAAGCTGGCAGTGCCGGTCGTGTGCCCCGACACTGCAGGCAGCAAGCCACGGCCAGCCAGCAGCATCTCTCCTTGCATTGCTGGTGCTGAGGCAGTGTGGAGCTTGGGTAAAGGTCAGTGCAACCATCCAGAGCCATTCCCAGGGGAGAATTCCTGGCTAGGAGAGCCACTGTGTGAGTGCTACATGCTGGCCATGGCCAGATCCTGGGGATGTCTTCTGTGCAGGAGAGGTGGGGAGCTGGGACCTTGGCTGGCAGCTGCGAACAGACCACCTACAGGAGCTGAGTCACAGCCAGGAGCTGCTGGGAGGGAGGACCAGGGGGGTCACACCTTGTGAGGAGCAGAGCACACATCTTCCAGCCCCTGTGGCAGACGTGGGGGTCATTTGGCACAGCAGGAACGTGCCCAACCTGGCAAACCACAACAGCTGCTCCAGCTACTCAGGACCATGGGCACATTGCACTGGAGCCCTCCAGGTGGTGGGAAAGGTGGAGCACACTCTTGAGGGGCCATGTGTGCGCTGAGAAGCCTGCAGCCTGCACAGTGGAGCACGTGTTTGTGGTCTGGTACCAGCTCTTCCCCACTAGCATGGGAGAGCAGGTACCGTGTGCCTTCCACAGTCCTTTCCCCTTGCATGGAGCCAGTCAGTGGTAATCCTGATTACCTGATTATCTGCTTGGCAGCAATGATCTCTGTACAGCGGAGTCCAAACCGTGTCCTGGTTCTGCCCTGCGTTCTGGGGCACGAGCATGGCAGCAGGCCTGGGAAGGGAGGGAGATATTATACAATGGAGTCACTGTGTATGGATGAAGGATGCTTTCCTCCCATCTCACTTGGAAGAACCCATCAGTGTCCCTTGAAAGGCAGTCCTGGCTATGCCTTCCTACTGTGTTGGGCAAGGACTGATGGCCCTCAGAGAGAAGGTCACACCACAGTGCTGACTGAGGGGTCGGAGAGGTTGAGCTGGCCAGTGATGTCAGTGGGGTGATACTGCTGCAACACACAAATAGACAGACAAGGAGAAAGAAGTGTTAGGCAGTTCTGGCACTTGTCCCCGCCCGTACTTATATCCCATGTGTCCCTACAGGATATCTCTTGGGGGTGATGCAACGCCCCGAGAGCTGCTGCTGGCTGAGGTCCCCTTCCCAATGCAATTGTGCAGAGGTCGTGGCAGACACTCTCCAAGCACCCTAGAGCTGGGCAGAGGGGACATCAGGAGCGTGGCGCAGCTTCTGCGGAGCGTGGCTGCCACCTTGCCCACTGAGCGAGCCCCTCTCCGCTCTGCGAGGGCTACAAAACAAAGCCTGTGACTCATCAGCCCAGCCCACGGCTGAACCTGTGTTTGGAGGGTCTAGCTGGGTTTTGGTACCTTTCTTGTGCCAGATCAAGCTGTGCTTTGAGGCCAGAGCGTTTCACCTCCTTGCTTGAATGACCCTGCTGTGACTATCCTTTCATGCAGGTGAGATGTGTGGTGTGGTTGGCTTGTGATAAAGTGTGGCATTGATTGCTAATGTGAAAATACAGCCTGTGGTGGGGATGTGGCTTGGATTTGGGGTTCTGTGCTCCTTGTGAATGGGGGGGCTCAGCAAACACTCCCTGGGAGAGACCTCCCCCAGTGCAGTCCCAATAGCAAGCAAGGGGTGAGAAAGAAATATCCATCAAGGGGCAAGAAAAAAAAGTCCTTCCTCACCGGGCAGGAATTTACAACTGGGCAGTTATTTCCTCCCTTCCTCCTTCCATACTCCCTTTCTCTCCCAGTTCCACTCTCCTAACTCCAAATCCTGGACTGGTAGCCCTATCCAGCCCTGCTGTGAGAGCAGGTGGCAGGAGCATCCTGCGCTGCTGTCTGGGATCCTCAACCGGTGCCAGGGCAGGAAAGGGTCTCAGTGGGTCTCGTGTGCTGCAGTGCAGACCCTCTCCAGTGACATTTTCCCAGCCCTTGCACCACCCTGCCCAGGAGGGCTGACGTTTTGAAGGGCTCCCAGGGGGCTCCTCAGTGACGGGGCGTGACCTGCCCTGCGTTGGTCGGTGCTGTCTCCGGTGGCCTCCGCGGTGCTGCTGGCAGCTCTGGCACTGTGGCTACCCTGTGTGCTCTGTGCCTTGCCTCCTGCCACGGGGAGGTCTGGGAGCCCCCCCTGAGCGTTGTGTGGGCTCCTTGGGGCTGCCCAGTCCCGCTTTGTGCTTCACCAGGACCCCTTGGTGGGGAGCAGCTGGGCCAGGGCCAGGAGCCGTGTGCTCCCATCTCTCCGGTACACATGCTGGGAACCACCTGACACCCAGGGAGCATCTCACAGGACCATCCTGTCACCTAGGGGGCTAGCTAACATTCCCATGGAGCCTCTGGGAATTCCTCACCATGGCCTTGCTTTGCTAAGGGACAGCACCTCGACCATCACCCGTCGGCAAGGAGAATGGCCGGGGCCATCCTGACGTCGCTCTGCTGCCCTGGGGGGAGCTTTTTGTGGCTGCTCATCAGCCCACCAAAAAACGCCCCTCTCCCAAAAATGGATGCAGCCACCCCCTCCTCGTGAAAAATTTGGATTGCAGGCTGAATGCAATGTTCCCACAGCAAAAGTGCTGGGAGGTGTGTGCTCATGGGATGGGGCTTGACTCCCGCAGGGAGGAGAGGCGACCGGGAAAGGGGAGAGGCTGGGTGAGTCACTGGTGGAGAAGAAGGAGGAACTTGAGATACAAAAATGAATGGGTAGAAGAAAGGTCCTTTGTTGAATATCCTGCCTGATGCAAGCGGGGTGGAAAAGCGGTGTGTGCATGTGTGAGTCGTGTGCCTGGGTGCACGTGTACGTGTGGCTGCTGTGGTGGAAGGCTGGAGGTCTAGCAGGGCAGGCTGGGGCCTTCTGGCCTCTCTGCACAGCTCTGGGGGTGGGCAACACTAAAACAACCAAGTGAAATGGGGAATCTGGCCAGAAAAATTAAAATACAAGAGAATGGCTTTTGATTTGAAAGCATATCTCCTCCAATCACAGAGTTATCACAGGGTAACATTCTCATTTACTTTTTTTTTTTTTTTGTGTAAAGTTCATGCATGCAATTTTTAATAATAAAAATTAAAATGAAAAGAAAAAAGGAAAAGCAAAAAAAAAAAAAAAAAAAAAAAAAAAAAAAAAAAAAAAAAAAAAAAAAAAAAAAAAAAAAAAAAAAAAAAAAAAAAAAAAAAAAAAAAAAAATAAAAAAAAAAAAAAAAAAAAAAAAAAAAAAAAAAAAAAAAAAAAAAAAAAAAAAAAAAAAAAAAAAAAAAAAAAAAAAAAAAAAAAAAAAAAAAAAAAAAAAAAAAAAAAAAAAAAAGCAAGAAAACGGTCATATCGAAACTATGTTAAAGTAGGAGTAATGCTAGAAGCACATATCAGTAATTTAAGATAAATCATGTTACAGGGATGGTGCAATAATCCCCAAACCAAACATTATAAAGCCAAGAAATTAATCAATATTAACCGTAGAAGAGACTCAAACATGTTAAGGTATGGAAGTGAAGTGAAGGCACCAAAAACTTTAAATGACAACCAGGAAGAAAATATAGACAAGAACTTAATGTCTTTAAAAATGACTTCAACCTAACTGGGCTCATATGGTAGTCCCTGGCTGGTGGAAGATTTTTCTGGAAGAATTTTGGTTTGTTGTTGTTAGTTGGTTTGTTTGTTTTTCAATTAAAAATTAGGATTCCAGCTAAATGCAATCTTGCTGTAGGAAATATCAACTTCCCTTTTTTTATAAAAAAGAAAAAAGAAAAAAAAAAAGTCTTTGACCTACTTTTGGTTCTTTTGGGCCAAAAAAAAACTAGGTTCTTTTTTTTTTTTTCAGCCAAGAAGTGTTTTGGCTTTGGGACAGCTGATCCTTCACTGGGAAGGTGACCTTTTCCATGAAGCCCCTCGGCTCTGGAGCAGCTCTGGCACCATCCCCACGGCTGCAGGGCAGCACCACCGGCAGCGCCGCGCCCGTGGCAGTGACGTGGGCCGTGTGTCCTGCCGTGCCTGGGGGGGCCCGTGGGCTGGCAGTGTGTCTCTGCGGGGGCTGCCGCTGGCTGGGGGGGCGGCTAAGGGACCTGTGCACCTCGTGACGTGTCTGTACGCAATGTGCCGGCTCGGAAGGTGTCTGTGTGGTTTATGCGTCTCACATGGCGTCTGTGGGGTTGCAGTATCGTGGGTGGCTGCGATGGATGGCAGTACGTCAGCTCTGCGAGTGCTATTCGAGTTGCAGGAGCTGCCTATGGGGAACACATGCATCTCCTCCTGGGGCGGTGGGGATGATGTGCCGCGGAGAGGCTGTGCAGCTCGGGTGATGGTGGGCGCTAGGACGTTCAGAGTGGGGTGGTAGCTTCCCGGGGCTGTCTTGGCTCCATGGTGCCAGCCTGTCTCTCTGGCACTCCTGAGGGACCATTCTGCAGGGCTGCAGAGCAGAATCCATTTTTAAAACTCCCGACAACGAAAAGGAAAGAAGCAAGGCCGCCAGGTCTGCGTCTTTCGTTCGCTAGCCAGGAGAGCCCGTGGGGCTGGGGTCAGCCTGGCCTTCCAGCCCCATGGGCTCTCCAGTCTTGCCCATCTAAGACCTGGTGTGGGCCCATGGCTCTGATGAACATCATGAAACAGAGCACCTCGCTGCTTTCTCGTCTTTACAAGGACCCCAGGCAACGTGCCCCAGCATGCTACGTACTCGTGGGGCCTTCCACAGCAGGAGGGCATTGGGGTCTCTGGGCCAGGGCTGCCGCACGGAAGTGGAGGGCACCAAGCGCAGGCTGTGACGTGAGCTGGTGGCACCACCCTCCCGCTGGCCGCTCACCCCGCAGAGCAACCAGCAAGTCTGCCCAACATCACCACAAAGCTTGCTCCACCACGGGCCTCCTGCAGTGACCGGACCTCAGAGCTGCTAGACTCCCACTTGGCCAAGTTGGCTTGGATGTTGACCCCAGTGGCTTGTTCTTGACCCCAGCTAGCCCAGTTCCCTGGGGAACGTGTCCTGGGACCCTGGTCACGTCACCCCATGGCGGGCAGAGGACTGTGACAGGCTTCTGGGCAGTGGGGAACAGTTGACCATAACTGCCTTGCAGATGCAGCTGCCCCCAAAGTGGGGACCGTCTTCTGGGATGAGCGGGGTCGTGTCCCTCCGCAACTGGCCTGTGAGCAATGTGCCAGGAAGAGCATGGCCAGGACCCAAAGCACAAGGAGCCTCAGGCTGTGCTGATCCCCACCAGGCGTGGGAAGGGGGAGAACAGTTCCACAGCTCACCCATGGGACCTCTGGTGCAGGTGAGCCCTGGATCTGGTCAACTCAGGGCATTGGCTGCTCCTGCTGTGGGGTAGAGAGGGCTGTGGGCTGGTGTGGTGTAGGGTGGATGCCACACTGTGGAACAGGATCAGGCCCAGGATGCTTCCCTGAAGAAGGAGTGGTGTGGGAGGTACCAGGGATGCCACACGCCAGCTGCCCCATTGTTCTTGGGTTCTCCTCCTCTCAGTGTGCCCACCAATGGAACTGGTCCCCCCAGGTGCCGAGGGCACCATCAGGCTTCTGCTTTCCCAGGACAGGATCTCTTGGTTTCCTAATCATGGAGTAGTTCAAACACATCAAAACATGGGAATCTACCCAGGACATGCAGATATTTCTGCAATTTTTTTTCTCCCTTTTTTTTTCCTGTGCATCCCACTTCTCTTCCTCATCCTCACTCTTCCCATCTTCTCTCCCCTGCACCACCCACCTCATCTCTGTCTTCTCTCCCCTGGTTGTGATTCAGGTCACCAAGACACAACCTGAGACCTCCCTGATGAGCTGCTCAGAGGGTGCACCAGTGGGGAGAGGGCACCCCAGATATGGGAGCATCACTTGGACAAAGTTCCACCCGGGGAGCGTGGAGGCAGCGCAGGAGGTGACAGGGATGCCTGTCGTCCCCATGGGGGTGGGTGCGAAGAATGTGGGTCCCCCCTCGTGACTTCCAGGCTTCGAGGTGACAGTGAGAGGAGCACTTTGTGTGAGGTGGTGGCAGTTGAGCCCGGCCGAGGGCTCAGCTGTCCCCAGGGACGTGTCCCAGGGGTGCTCCAGGAGCTTCTTGGCACGGAGCCTGCGCTGGTGTCAAAGGCAGCCTCCTCCATTTGGCGCACAGAGCCGTGGCCCCGAGACCCCCTGCGGTATGGCATGCTGCTCCCCGGGGCGCCCCAAGCCTGCAGCTGGGGACGGGCCACCCCTGCATGGGGGGCCACATCTCCCCGCCCTGCCACCGTCCCCCCGGCCCCGCCGCGCCTCGGGCAGCCTGGCGGGGAGCCTGCTCTGGGCAGCCCTGGGCAGAAACCCGCGGTCGCCCCGGGGAGGTGGTTTTTTGGCCAGCCCATCGCGCCAGGAGGTCGGGCAGCAACACGCAGTGGGCGCTGCCACACGAGACAACAGAGTAGCCACAGTGCAGAGTGTCATACAACAGACGGCGACATGCAGAGGGACACGGCTCAGTCCGACAGACCAACAGCCCAACCTGACGCTGAAGTGTCTGAAGCTCCAGCACGAGCAGACACATTTGCACATTTGGAAACAGCTGGCTTTAGAGGCAGCAATTTGGAAATTTTCTCTGGTTACATGGCAGCAGTGCAAAGCACAAGTTTGAACCAAGGCTGGGTCTTTAACAACCTCCACTTTCAAGCCTTTGTATCTCTTTTCCAGAGCTGCATTACTGCTGACAATAACCAGAGACAGCTGTCACTCCTGTGCCCAGGACTACGTCCCGAATGCTAATCGTCACAAACAAAAATCACATGTAGAGAATGTGACACGCATGGCTCTCGGTGAGGTGACACGGTGCCCAAATTAAATTGGGGTGATTGTTTTTAGGCATACAATGACAAACAGGTACAGGAACACTCAGGAACTTAAAAAAAAAAAAAAAAAAAAAAAAAAAAAAAAAAAAAAAAAAAAAAAAAAAAAAAAAAAAAAAAAAAAAAAAAAAAAAAAAAAAAAAAAAAAAAAAAAAAAAAAAAAAAAAAAAAGGAAAAAAAATGTCATCGGTTTCAAGAAGTCAGCACCGGTAAGGTGAGCGAAGCACAGAGAGGAACATCAGAAATCATCCAGGCAGAAAGAAAACAAAAAAAACAAAACAAAAACTCAGTTGCATCTCCCAACTCATCACAGGACTCCAAGCCACCTCCTGCCTGCCCTCCAGGATCCCAGCATCCTTTCAGGAACACGGGATGACTGACTCACTGACTGACTGACTGACTGGTGACGAACATGAGCTATGCATGTACACTGGCAGCTTCGGGATGGGTGTGTGGCAGTCGATGGGATGGCAGAAGAGAGAAAGAGAGAGAAAGAGAGAGGGCAGAATTGTTCTTCTTCCTCTTACCGTATCCTTGGAGGACCTACGTCTCTTGAAGCTGGAGGCCAGGGTGGAGGTGATGGACCTAAAAGTGGCTTTCTTTTTAGGGTCAGGTTCTGCTCTACCACTTTTTCTATCCTAAAATGAATATGTATAAGTAATTAGATCTCTAGTGTGTTGTTGGAAACTCTAAATCTATTTGAATACTGCCCCGTGTCATGGCTTTCATTTGGGTGAGAAAGCTACTGGAGGTGTTCTGTCACTCCCAGTGCTCCGAGGGCCTCCGTGACCCACAGCTACTGCACAGCCACCACACTGGTACAGCTACGGGGGGCCGGCCTCTGGTCTGGAGTGCTGGAAACCCCGCTGGGGAGTATCCCTGCTCTCCTGGGTGTCTGTGGCCAGGCCGGCACAGCTGACCTCGCTTCCTGGGCATGCTCTGCCTGGCGCCCTGCCCCTCGCTTCCACCGCTAGCCTGGCTGGACAGAGACGTGAGGTGCTGCACCTACCACTAAAAAAAAAAAATTGCTCAGGGCTTTCTCTGAGGCTGAATCCTAGTGCCAGAAGAGAGAGAGAGGACTGCATTGAAAGAGAAGTCATTGTATGAATATTCTGTAAAAAAAAAAAAAGTGTTCAAAAATTCAAATGACGCAGTTGTGCAAAGCCGAACGTGGTTGCTGGTGGTGG